CAAATTATATATTCAGCCTAATGAGAAATGTTTCTATCAACCATACTAATATGATTTGAAAATATTGAAAAACAAAAAAGTTTAAAAATTTGACTTTTTTTCTTTGCATGCCGTTACGACAGGAAGTAGAGACGACGTACAAAAGATCGCGTCTTCGATAGTTCTTATCACGATCTATAATCCCTGAAAGTTCCACAGTGATATCTTTAACCGTTCTTTAGATTATCCACGAACAAAATGTCAATTTAAAATCAGATAATTGTCCGTAACTTGGCACCAGAAAGGAATTTCCAAAAAATCTCCAGGATATAGTAAATGCATAAAGCAACACATTGTTCCTGCAAATTTCATAAAAATCCATGCAGTAGTCTTCGAGAAATCACGTGCACAAAATTTGATGGTCAGAAATATTATAATTATAATGAGCTCAGGTGAGCTTCAACGCCTTTTGCGCTGGAAAGATATAGACTCAAAAAAGCAATTAAGCAATCCTTCCTCTACCTTCACTGAAAATCTCAAGTCAATATCTTCATTCGTTTTTTAGTGATTGCCCGGACAAGCTGACCCTTTTAAAATCAGTAAATCGTCCATATCTCACGACCGGAAGTGACGACGTACTTATAAAAAATTTCCAATAAGGTTCAGACCAATATCTATCAGATCTGAAAGTTTTGTGAAAATCGACCAAGCCGTTTCCGAGAACTCGCTTGCACAAAAATCGGTAAGAAAAAAAAAATAATAATAATAATAATAATAATAATAGGGAAAAAGAAACCGAACGAAAACAATAAGATCTTCCGTTGGAAACGGAAGACCTTAACTAGAACGATCTCGTTGCGAGCAACGAGAGGTCTTCCGTCCGATTCTGAAATAAAAAACGAAAAATCAAGCAGAAAAAGTGATAAAAAAAAATTCGGACATTCGGGGGAGCGAACCCGGGTCGCCCGCGTTACAATCCAACGCGCTAACCATTCGGCCATTGAAAACACCGCTTCAAATTTTGAAATGCGAATATCTCGAAATTGCCTTTTTCGATTCTAAAACAAATTACAGATTACGCATTTGGAAATGAGTCTCTATTTAGATTAAAAACATCAAAGAAAAATATTGAAAAACAAAAAAATTGAAAAATTGGATTTTTTAAATATGCTTCCGGCAGAAACCGGAAGTGCTGACGACGCACGAAAAGGCAATTCTGCAAACCAGAAATTCATGAGCTATCGTCTCCAATAAGTCTCCAGTTCATATCCTCAGCCATTTTCGATAAAAGTGCGCGACAAAAACGCATTTTAAAATCAGGAAATTGTCCATAACTTGGCACCGGAAGCGATATTTGAAAAAAAACTATAGACTGCACAACTTCATATAATGACGCATTTTTTGTGAAAATTTCGTTGAAAACCGCTGAATAGTTTTCGAGAAATCCCGTCCACAAAATTTTGTCAAAAAAAGAATAATAATAATAAGAAACAATACAATCACTATAAGGTCTTCCGTGAAGACGGAAGACCTTAATAAGAAACAGTAGAATAACTATAAGGTCTTCCGTGAAGACGGAAGACCTTAATAAGAAACAGTAGAATAACTATAAGGTCTTCCGTGAAGACGGAAGACCTTAATAATAATAATAATAAGAAACAGAGTAAAAACAATATGTTCCCCAACTTCGTTTGGGGAACATAATAAGAAGAAGAAACAGAGTAAAAACAATATGTTCCCCAACTTCGTTTGGGGAACATAATAATATATTTCCGAACATGAAAGACATTTTTGTGTTGATCTATGCACTGAACACTGAAATTTTTCGATTACATTGTATTTTTTATGCACTTAAAGTGAAATGCCCTTAGATTTTATAAAAACCATATTATCCAAATTATCATGCCCCTGTAAAGGAAGTTTCTAGCCATAACTTTTGAACAGCAGGGGCTAGGACTTTCACCCTTTGACCTTGGAGATTTTTTAAATACAACCTTGGCCATAATTTTTGAAGGATAAGAATTAAGGCTACCATACTTCACTTATTTAATCCTTGAGATAAAACCTTTCATTTAATATCAAGAACTTTGACTCTTCCACCTTGACCTTGAGGTTTGACCTATTTTTACGCAAAAAATCCTAATTTTGACTTTAGCCGTAATTTTTAAACGGTAGATACTAAGTATTTCATATTTCAAATATCACTTTTTTTTGTGGAAAGACCTTTCATATTTTTTTGAAATCATTATGTTATATTTTAAAACTCCATTTTTAAATGTAAATTGTTTTATAAATTGTAAATTTATAAAATGTAAAGCAGTCGAATAGATGAGCAATACTTCAATCATCTTGCGCCTTAGTGTCATATTCATGTACATAAAATTCTATCATCCAATAGCATATAAAATCCTACCAATTATTTTGCTTGAATACAAGCTTAGAGTAATTGAATAACATCAAAATTCAGATTGGTTATAAATCTCTTTTCCAATATATATATTTTGTTGTCACGCAACACAAGTTTGCATTATAATATAAGAAAGTTACCTTAATATGTATGTAAAACCTTGTGATGTTAGAATTGCGTAAACTGTAAGTTATTTATCCAAATATTTTAATTAACCAAGATAAATTCATTGACTACATTATTAACATGTTTTCCATGGACTCATTGGGTGCAAGATAAGGTTTGACTGCGTACTGTAAAATCACATATTTTAAAGGGGTCAGAGGATTGAGGAAAAATATATATATATATATTTGTCTTTGGAACATATGTAGTAGTAATGAATATGAAATTTTATATTTCATGGTGGTCATGAATTAATGAGTCTCCCCATACCTCGATAATACTGAAAATTAAACTCCTAAGAAAATTAACAATTTCACGGTATATAATAACACAAAATTAACTTGAGAAATCTGAATAACATCAAAATCATTCCTTGACGTAAAGTGATTATTTGAATGCCTTTTTTAAAAGTAATATTTATCAACAACATCAATCTCTTAATTCAATAAAGAAGGATATGGCGATAACGAACAGTATTCAATATCAAAGTCCATAAAACAAAACAAAATGAGAGCAGAGCAAACACGGACCTCCGAAACACCACAAACAAAATATTGCTTTGATTTTCACTCTAAACTCTCTGGTAAAATACCGGTATACACAGAACTTGTTAAAGGGGTGGAGTAAAACAAGATATAAATTAGAGGTACTGTAAACACTGAGCTCACAAAGTGATACCCCCACCTCCCATATGCCCATATGAGTATAATGGTAGTGCCCACGTTTTGTTTTTGGGAACACAAAATGCTTCAGATCAAAAAGTAAAGTAGAAGATGCATAATGGCACTATGTAACGAAGAATCTGATAAAGTCTCATTAAATGTCATTCAGGAGTATAAGAGGAGATAGTTGTTGATAGAAAAGGGGTACTGCAATGCGTAACAGACAGATAGACAGATATCCTGATCACTATTTTCATGCGGAAATAAAATAATATATGATATTGCTGCATTTCTCTTTTGGTACGACGATTTTCCCCCATCGTAAAACAATGTTAAGCTAGCCCCTTGGGCTCAGTAAATCTTTACTGTTTTAGATTCTGAATCATCGTTGACTTTACGAGTAAAATAGCAAGAATTGTAAAATATAATGAAATCAAGATATAACCAATTTAATCCCAGTTTGGCTAATAGGTCTAATAAGTCTCTTTATCTATCTTTGTTTTTCCCCGTAAAAAGTCAAATTTAATCCACAAAGGGTCATTATTCTATAAGGTAATTTTTCTTCACGTGGGGTAGGCAAATTTTTAGGGTGATGACACTTTTTCAACGGGCAAAATGTTCCTTTTTTGAAGTCGAATAAGGGGTCATTTCTTGCTGTAGAACAATGACTCCTGGCCAATATTCTATTGGTGTCATTGCTAGTCTTTACACTGGCCGCTTCCGGCAATATACAATATGATAAAATTATTTTTCAACTGAGCTCTGATTATAATACGATGCAAGATAAGCTGTAAAGAAACAAAAGAATATAATCCTACTTTTTCATAGAAAAAAATGATCAGCAGTTTTAGGGGATGTCTTAAAGATATGTTCATTTATATTCTTATGACATTGGAGAAATGTTTTATAATTTCCTGCTAGAAATCTATTTTTGTAAATAGAGAAATGATCTTCTGATTTGTCAGACATATTTTTCACAGGAAAATTAGTTATTTAAACTTTTACACTTCTTTGAACATATTTCAATAATTGAACAGACTTTCTAAACACCCTTTATTTAAACTTCTCAGACCGTCAGATAAAAATATCTTAGGTATTTAAATCATGCACAACCTTGTAACAGGTAAAAATCTGGAATAAAGACCAGGAAGTAAATTGTAGAATATGTCAGATTTCAAGGAGGCCATATTTGATCTCAAGGTGAGACAACACAATATTTAACTTTAACATCTGTCATTATCAATCTCAAGTGTAGTAAAATACAATTAATTTATATCTAAAATACATCAGAGAGCTGAACTTGATTTTACCTATTATACAAATAACTATAATGTGCAATGTTTTTTTTCTAAATAACATTCTCAAACATTAAGAATTTTAGAAAGCATTTTAAATTTATTTTTCCTGTCATTTATAAAGTGACTGTAATCTTCTTAGCAAACATAACCTCTTATTGGGTCTTTTGTTTAGCTGACGTGATTCATACAAATTGTTTGGCCTTTGTTTTCATATTAAATTTGACTTAGTTCAGTAACCTGATCAATGCATAGGGCACCAGTGCTTACTCCTAGTAACCAAAAAACTTGAAGTTCTAGGAGGTTAGTGTTAATGCCTTCTTTATTCATGTTATTGTTTTGTACTGATTATAGATTTTTTTAAATCGATCAATTTTCTTATTCTCTTTTTACTACAAAATAAAATTCTTGAATGCATTGTTCTTGTTTGAAATTCAATACTATAGTCAGTGATCTAAATTTCCATTTATTTTAATACAGAGTTATCTAATCGTTTGACCAAAAAAAAAGAAACAGTAATGGATCACCTGGACAGAGCTCAAGTACTCCTCCTCTGTGACCTGTGTCAAAGAGATGCATTACAGAGTCATTGTGAACTTTGCCAGATTAACCTGTGTAAGGCCTGTGTAGGGGATCATCTCTCTGATTCATCTATAAAACATAAAGTTGTACCATACAAACACAGAACTTCTACTCTTAGCTTTCCAATATGTCGAAATCATACTCAGAAACATTGTGAACTTTACTGTGAAAAATGTGAAATTCCTGTTTGTTCGATCTGCATCTTCTCTGATAAACATCATAAGCATAAAATAATTGATATTTTGCAAAAATCCAGCTTCATTAAAGAAACTCTAAACAAGGATTCGATAGAACTAGAAAGAAGAATACTTCCTACTTATGAGGAAATCGCAGCAGAATTAAACTTTGAAAAAGTAAACTTAGAAAAACATTATGAGAAACTGACAACAGCTGTCACGAACCAAGGAGAGGACTGGCACAGAGAAATTGACATCATAGTCAACAAAAAGAAATCTGAAATTGATGAGATGAAATCTAAACACCTAGCTGTTCTGAATAAAAAGGGTCAAGAAATTGAACAGATATTATTTGATGTAAAACACAGTCTGTTTGATCTCAAGAAAATATTAAATTCAAATGAAAGTTTCCTATCCACTGCTTACAAATCTAGGAATGCTGAATTCAGAAGTTTACCTCCTAAAGTCAACGTTAAATTACCAAGTTTTTATCCTCATCAGATCAACACAGAAAGGGCCAATAGAAAGTTTGGTTCTCTTTCAGCATTATCCATTACAACAGAAGAACATGGCTACACAATGAAAACACCAGATACTGTATCATGTTCTCCAATCAAACTACTGCTTGATCAACCAATGGTCATCATCACCATACATGTAAGCACTAGGAATATGGACAGTGTGACCTGTCGCAATGACGAAGAAATCTGGACATATGGGTATGACAAAATCATGGAACTCTACAACCTTCAGGAAAAACTACTCAAGTCAATCCAAACCAAGTCTGGTAACATACCACGAGGTATAACAGTAACAGGTAGTGGAGATCTAGTTTACACTGACCCTGGAACAAGAAGTGTGAACATAGTAAAAAATGAACAGATACAGGAAGTGATCAGACTACAGGGGTGGAGACCTTTCAATGTCTGTAGTACCTCCTCTGGTGACCTGCTGGTTACCATGGGGAGTGATGATTATAAACAATCAAAAGTTGTCCGTTACTCTGGATCTACAGAAAAACAAATCATTCAGTTTGAAAGTAAAAGTAAACCTCTTTATTCGCCTTACCACCTTAAATACATCAGTGAGAACAGGAACTTTGATATCTGTGTGGCAGACTGCGGAGTCAATGCAGTAGTGGTGGTTAATCAGACAGGGAAACTCCGATTTAGATACACTGGTCATCCCTCTTCTACCAACATACCATTTAAACTGGCCGACATCACAACAAACAGCCTGAGTCAGATCCTGACAGCAGACTGCAACAACCACTGTATCCACATCTTAGATCAGGACGGACAGTTCCTCCGTTACATTGATAACTGTGATCTACACTGTCCATATGGTTTATGTGTAGACACCAGAGACAACCTCTTTGTTGCTGAGTGTGACAGTGGTAAAGTAAAGAAAATCAAATACGTGTTAAGCAATGTGTAGAAATAAATTTTGTGACTGAGAATCAGATACTAGGAGATAATTTCTCTGTGTCTACGTGAATTAGAACTGTGAAAAAATTCAATTACTCTAAAACAGCAGATTTTAATATACGGCACAAGAGGCCCTTTGCTGCCTACTAGTAACTCAATGCTTTTCCATGGTCCTGTGGTTTCAATCAGAAGATTTTTTCTATAGAATTTATGTACATGTATATTCATAGTCTTAAGTAAAACTTTTATCAAACATTGTGCAACGCCTCTCAGAAGCTTGCCTATATTTTGTATTTGTCAGAGCTGTTTGCATACATGTGATGCGTACCTACTGTACATGAAATGTCACATTTATTTTTAGTTTGAGTTAGTGGATCACAGTGAGTTATTAAAATTCATGGGTAATGCAAAATACCTTGAAAGAATAAGATGGGACAAGAGCCAATCTAAGCCCCCTCTTCAAAAAAACTAATATTATATGTAATCCAAGGGTATTCCCAAGTTTAACAGGAAATGATATTTTTTTGGTGTTATCCCTGTAATTTGGTTGCCTAGCAACACATCAAATATAACAACCATGAATTGAATTTAAAGTCAATTTCAGAAACATTTATTTATAGAATTATGTATTTGTTCCATATTTTTTAAGTAACACATGATAAAAATCATTTAATCCTAGAAACATTGTAAATTGTAGGTGAAATACAGAATTTTTTTTCCATGGCAACCGAACACGTCCCTAGTAACAACTTTAAATGCATAAAAATATTGAGAAAAAGGAATGTTTGTGTACTGTGATATGAAATTGTAAGGTTCAATGTTTGTATCTTAAGGATTAAGATCTATGTATCTTTAGAATTCAAAATTTTATCCTACAGGCATAAAAGAAATCCTTAGCAACAGCGTTACAGTCATAAAAAAAATGTATAAAAGTGTATGAAGATTTCTTAACAGTTTGTATGCAACCACGGTGAACATCAGAACAACAAATAATAATGTGACAGTCACATATTTTTTGTGTATTTTGTGTACAATGTCTATATACATAAAATATAATTAATAGAGTAAAAATTAAACTTTCAGTTACCCAATAAACCCTTAGTAACCATAAATCCCTATTAACCAAATAAAATATCAAAAATAAAGAACTATGCACGATAATTCTCGATTCCTGCCTACATGTTACACTTCTTTGAAAATTGATCGAATATAAATGGCAACTTGGTTTACAGCTTTATTCAAGTTTTACAAAAATTATAACGTTATATATATTATTCTCTTGCCAAATACTAGTACGTTTTGCGAAAATTCGTACAATTATCTCCATACATACATAGATGAAAATATGTTCATTTCGATCAATGGACTTTGGGAACTCGGCAGAAAAAACAACATTTGTAGTTCTTTTTATTTATTAAGAGCCTGTCTACGAGAAAACCATGCAGATATATAGAAAAATGCTCTGGGAGGCACTCTCAAGAACAAACTAATTTTTATTATTAACTTAAAGGACACCCAATAAGAGTAAAAAATATGTTGTTTATTTTTGCATCGGTTGTTTCTATTTTTAGTAACAGCCAATAATTCATTTTGGTCAATATTCAAGGGAAAATGCAAAAAAGTTGGTGTAAAAATGACAATTTCAATATTTAAAAGTAAAAAAGAAAAAACAATACATAAATAAAAGGGCAACATGTTCTCATAGAAATAAGTCCCAAAATTAAGCTGGAATCAATTTTTTTGTAAAACCCCTATATAGAAGCCTGTCCCGAGGACACAGATATTGGCATGGTGCCAAGAAATGATAATGGTTCATTTTTTGTTAATATTCAGGGATACATTTCTTAGAAAGTGACGCTTCTTTTTTCAGAATTTTGTGCATTTAAGAATCTCTAGGATATTATCCCAACAATATGTAAAATCCACCTTTGGACTCTCAAGGACAGAAAAGTTATATCGTAATGAAATTACCTCAAATTCAAATGATGGAAAAATTCATGATTTTATAAGTTTTACTATTAACAGTAATTTTAATGAATTTGGTGTATAATATTTACAAATATAAACAATAAGAATTATTTTTAATTTTATAAAAGCTATAAATATTTTTTTCCTGCTTTTCCTGTGAAAAAAAAAACGTATTTTACTATTTATTTAGATTTTGTTAGAATTATCTCCCCTGTTGCGCTCTTCTGTAGAGAAGGTAGATAATGATTATGTTTACAAAGTGTATAAACAGATTTCTGTCATCTAATCGTTTTAGGCATAAATTATGTGTGATTTGAAGAAAATTGTCCTTCCTGTGAATGTAATTTGTTACGTATATACTAGTGGCCCATGTATAAAAGGCATAAAAAATTATGAAAACCATCGGGATCGATGTACGGTTCCGTAACCACGTGTAAACATTATGGCATCCTGAGACGTTTTGTTACCGTTTTGTACGTCCTCAGAAAAAGATTCAGGTGCGTGAATTGTTTAAGAGTCTTCAGATTCTGGCTCTGATTTTGATGAATATGATTCTGACAGCAAACATTCATTTGGTAGCAAGACGGATGTAGTGATGATGATACCGAATCAACGATTACGCGAGATCTCGGACTATAACAGAGTCGGCCTATAACTAACTCGGCCTATTACGGACTCGGCCTACACATACTCGGCCTATAACGGAGTCGGCCTACCGCTAAAAACAGTAAGATATCTACGTGATTTACCTACTTTTTATAGGTTGAAGCAGTTTAATTTATTACTTCCGATATTAAATGATTAATAATATATCGGCAAGCCACACTACTCTATGAAATTAATGGATTAATTAATGTAAATCGTACATGTATGTGACATGCGTGCTGCATACTTAAATCATATATATTGGGGGTCTATTTTTTTCCTGTATATATTTTATTTATTTTCTAATCTGCACTACTCATTTTGTTACTAATAAGTTATAAATCATATATTTGGAGTTTATGTTTTCTTTAAAGGCCCATTCTATTTGTTTTCTATTCTCAAATCATCACTCCTCCTTTTGCTGTAATATTCAAATATATCCTACTGATACTTCTGTTGGATACACTTTATTAAGTGAAAAATAAAGACTTTTTCCAATCATTATTATGCCAATTAACTACCCAAAAATGAAAAAAGACTAATACATATGTTCATCAGGTTTATTTGTTTTCAGCATATATATAACAGTTACTATTTTCAACATCATCAGCAATATTAACATTTTTTTTAAATATCACATGTTCAATAATAAATAGCATATGTAAGTTCGATAATAAATAAAATATTTTCAAACAACATATTTAATTTAATTTGCACAAAAAGTCCAGTCCATGGTGTTCATTATCAAGGAATCACATTGTCAAAGAAGTTCACCGGTGAGCACTCTTCACTGACACAGCACAAGTATTAATGCAGAAGTTCTTGAAAAGGCACGTTTCACAGTACTTATACACAGAAGTTCATTTAGTCATTGGATGGCCCATAAATCTTCCCGCACTCGCTGAGTAGCTGAGAAACTGTTCTCTGTCCATCCTCGTACTCCTCCCAGGTCTGGTGGAGACGGCACTCCATCCTACGTTGTTTCTGCCTCTGGTCCCTGATAATCTGTTCCTCGTTGACCAGTTGGTGTGTCAGCTCGACCATGTTGGCTTCACGTCGTAAAGCTGGGACAACGGTATAGAAGGACTTGTGGTTACAGGAACATCTGGTAGAATCGTGTCTGGAAGGTCAGGATCCTGTATGGAGCTATAAAACAAATATAAATTATTAGTTTTAAAGCATACACAATATACACAATGTACAGAATACACATAAAAATCATAAAAGTTAAAAGAAAAATTCATATGGGAGATCAGAGGGTTTATGACTCTTATTTATGTAAACTGTTTCACTGTCATTGAATCGTACTGTTTTTTTTATTATTTGCTTTAATACTATATGTAAGAATTCAAATGTATCTTACTGTTCAGCTATTTCGTCATCGTTGTCGTCTGGACCTCTAGTCACATCAAAGGTGGTAGTTAGGTTCAGTCCAGGCTCAGGTGGTGTGGGGTCCAGGTTGTCATTGATGGAGGCAGGCTCATCAAGGATGGAGGCAGGCTCATCTTGGATGGAGGCAGGCTCATCTTGGATGGAGGCAGGCTCATCGTGGATGGAGGCAGGCTCATCAAGGATGGAGGCAGGCTCATCAAGGATGGAGGCAGGCTCATCTTGGATGGAGGCAGGCTCATCGTGGATGGAGGCAGGCTCATCGTGGATGGAGGCAGGCTCATCGTGGATGGAGGCAGGCTCATCGTGGATGGAGGCAGGCTCATCGTGGATGGAGGCAGGCTCAGGTGCAGCAGCATCAGGCTCAATGGTGTACGTCCTGTTGAGGTCTGTAGTATTTCCACCGGCGCTGATGTTGGACATGTTGAAGTGGCCATATACCAAGTGGACATTCCCCGAATCCTCTATGTGGGTGGAATGAGCAGGACCACTATGTATAAAACAACAATGTTAATACTCTTATCAAACATGTATATATGTACAAGAATATATTAAATCTTCTAATTGTTCGGCATCTTTTTTGAAATATAATACTGGAAAATATGTTTGAAGTTATGTAAAAAGAAATGCATATAAGAATAAAAAATAAGGGATATATAAATCTATAAATCTTCATAATCATGTTCTGATGACTTGTCCACTTATTATAATAGATATAGGCTATATGCCTGCCTATTTACCTTAGTGTTTCCTCTTCATCGCTGCATCTTGTGCATGTGAAATTGATGGTCTCCTCACTTCTGATCAACCGGCGGTACTCTTGCTGAGAAATCCCTAATTAATATAAATTTTGTAATGAGAATAAATTTAGATTTGAGGAATTATTTTGATTTGAGGATTTCTTTATATGCATGTATTTATTATAGGAAGTATTTTAAGTTGTTGTGATATTTTCCATTTTAGATAAAAGTTTTAGTATTATATTTGTGTATGAACATGTGCTTAAATAATTATAATTAGATAAAGTCTTATGTTTTATTCTTTTAAGAAATCAGACATACTAAAATTTCTTTCTAAAACATAATTAACAAAAAGAAAAAAAAGGGAAAAGAAATGCCATATACAGTGTTCTAAAAACTATTATTTTCATTTTGTTGAACACCTTTGCAGTAGTTGTAACTGAAAATTGTTTTGATAACCTGAGGGTATGTGTAAGTTACTTATTAATTGCTGTCAAAACATGGATTAATATCCATAGAAATAACTGTGTATATACACATACCCATTACATATATCTTGGTATTGATTAGAGTCAATGGTTTCACAGTTGCATAAATTTTAATTAATATAAATATGATTTATTTTAAAAACTATTATTTTTAATATTAATATTTATAGTACTATCTTTATTTAATTTTAAAGA